GCCAACACCCTCAGCAGCTCCAGCTCCAGCCGGACCACGAGAAGACGCAGTAGCCCCAGCTCCAGTAGTACGTGCAGGCCCAGCAGCTCCAGTACTCCCAGTACGAGCACCTCCGGGACCCGTGGTACCAGCACACTCAGCAGCAGGAGAACCTCCAGCTCCAGCAGCACGCCTCCAGCGCCGGGCAAACCACTCACGCAGCTCCCGCAGAGACGAAGCACCCGGAGAACCTCCAGGCCCAGCACCGCCAGACGCCGCACGAGCAGGCCCAGCACCCTCAGGCTCCGCACCCCCAGGCTCAGCACCCCAAGGCGTAGCACCCCCAGGCTCAGCACCCCCAGTCGTAGCACCCCCAGGCTCAGCACCCCCAGTCGTAGCACCCCCAGGCTCAGCACCCCCAGTCGTAGCACCCCCAGGCTCAGCACATCCAGAGTCAGCACCCACAGGCTCAGCACCCCCAGCAGCACCAGAGTCAACAGCTACCTCAACAGGCTCGACTGCGTCTACCTGGAACACACCTGAGGGGGCAGGACCCTGAGGGGGAAGGGGGTCTACCGGGGGGGGACCTGGCACAAGGAAGAGCGGTGGCGGGGGGAGGGACGGAGTGCGGTAGGGGAACAGACGGTAGTAGGGAACCGACTCGTCAAACGTGACGTCCTGGGAGGACAGAACACGGCGCGAGGTGGGGTGGTAGGACTGCCACCCTGGCGCGTCAGGGGGGAAGCCAAGGAAGACGCAGGGAGCAGCACGAGGGGATAGCTTGTCCGCAGACAAGTCGCGGACAAACGCCCGAGATCCCCAGACACGGAACGCAGACGCGTCGCCAACCTTCCCCGTCCACAGCAAAGCAGGGGAGGTCTCCGGCCTGAAGACCCTGGGCTGAAGGTTGATCTGATGCACCGCGTACCGAACCGCAAACGGCCACAGAAAATGGGGGGCAGCCGCATGCACCATGGACGTACGGGCGACGTCCATGACCATGCCAATGCGGCGCTCAGCAATCCCATTTTGCTGTGGAGAGTCCGGAAGCGTGAAGGTCTGGCGGATGCCTCGTGCACGACAGTAGGCTCGAAGGAGGCCAGAGGAGAACTCTCCTCCTCTGTCGGAGTGCAGACGCAGAACAGGAAAGTCCGAGCCGAAACTCTGCCTGAGCTGGAGACGAGCTGCGCGGATCCAGTCGATCAACACCTCAGTGACATCACCCTTGCTGCGCAAGGGGAAGACTGTGGTGTAACGCGAGTAGTCGTCAACCACCAGCAGGAAGTAACGCTCGTGACCCTGTCCACGGATGCGGGCTGGGCCCCACACGTCCATGTGAAGCGTCTGGAGTGGGGCCTCTGTCGGAGGAAACTGGGAGGAGTGAGGGGCAGCACGCTGCCGACCCTCGACGCAGGGAACACAGGTAGGGGCAGGCCCCGGAGGAAGGGGAGGGAGGTACCGGGGGAGACCAGAGACCAGGACACGTGAGGCCATGCCTCGGAGACGAGGCAGGGAGGGGTGACCAAGGCGGTGGTGCCAGAGGAGAGTCTAGTGAGACAGGAGACGACACGAGCAGGGGGCAGACTCAGGACCAGACCTGGACGCTGCAGCAAACACCTGACCCGACGCAGCTACCTGACCAGACGTAGTGACCGGAGGAGAGTCAGTGGTCAGTGTGTACAGGCTCGACCCTGGTCGGCGGGTAAACGTGGCCAAGTGTCGGCCCGTCCGAGCACACGTGCAGTGGGTCACTCGCTGGCTCGCAGGAGTGAACTGGTGAACCCCCGCATCCTGTAGGTCAGCACCACTCACCAAGTTCGTAGAGAACGAGGGGAGGTAAAGACCAGACAGGGTGCCAGAGGGGGCCGCCGCACACGGTAGGACAGTGGAGAAGTGGGCAAGGACAGGACCCCCAGAGGGCTCTGCCAGAGAGACTGCAACTGGCCGACTAAGCGGCGTGAGTGTGGTGCGGTCTCGAAAGAAGGAGCGGGAAGCCCTGTAGTCAAGGGTGAAGGTGTGGGAGGCCGGAGCCGACGCGGTACCTGAGAGAGCAGACTCACTGGCACCTAGAGCAGCAGCCTCACCAGCACCTAGAGCAGCAGCCTCACCAGTACCTAGAGCAGCAGTCCCAATGCCCGGGTCGGGCTGAAAACACCGGTAACAGTCACCCTCGTCACTAATAGTCACAGCATACATGGCAGCAAGAATAGCATCATAATCAAGATCAAAGATAGGAACCCCAGCCCTCGACAGCTCGCCCCAGCGAGGGATCTCAGTGGCCTCAGGGAACTGGTGACGCCAAGCGTCCGTCAGGCGGCCAAAGCAGCGCTGAGTGGAGTGCGCACCCCCACACGGCTCACCCGCGCGGTCGCCGGTGCGTAGGACGTAGGTGCACGGACCAGTACCCCCACCCCGCTGACGTGCAGCGTACCACTCACGAAGCTGCTGAGGGGGAGGGATCTCACGAGTGCGCTGCTGCTGCTGCTGCTGCTGCTGGCGCTGACCACCACCGGAGCCGACCCTCTGCGCAGCGCCACCCCGACCAGCTCCACCTCCTCCGCCGCTACCTCCTCCACCGCCGCCACCTCCGCCACCTCCGCTCCCACTGCCACCGCCGCCGCCGCCTCCGCCTCCACTGCCGCCACTGACGCCACCACCCCCGCCACCACCCCCACCGCCACCCCCACCCCCTCCACCGCCTCCACCGCCGCCTCCACCGCCCCCGCTAGCTCCTCCAGCGCCCCTGCCCCCCTTGCCATTGCCAGTGCGGCGTCTCCCGCTAGGGGCAGACGCCGCACCGACCAACTCAAGACCAACGAGGTCGGCCGCAGCAGCAGAGGCAACAGAGGGCAAGAGGGGAGAGGGGGAGCACCCCTCAAAGACAGGGGCACGAGGGTCACCACGAGAGGCTCCTACAGCGACTATGCTCTTCTCTGCCGCTAGGAGGCGCTCCTCGAGGAGGTCAACGGTGAGGGTGGTGGGGCAAACAGAGAGAAAGTGGTCCCTGACCGGGCGAAGGGTGTCAGGGAGCCGGGTGACTAGGTAGTAGAGGGTGATGTACATAGGGGGGGGGTTCTTGGCGCAGAACTCAGCAGGAAGGGCAGCGCGGTAACGAATGTCACTAGTGCGAAGGTGCGTAATGAGGTCAGCGACTGTGGGAAAAGCGGCGAGGTCAGGGAAGAGGTACGGCAGGATGAGGCGGCTAAGTGCAGCAGTGGCAGGGGAAGAGTAGCGTGCAACTACAGCGTCGTACAAGGTCTTAGCACTCTTGTACTGACTAAAGTGTGCACGCTCAGCGGTAGGCAAGTGGCGGCGCACAGCAAGACGGGCAGCAGCATCGCGTGTGGCCCACTGTGAGCAAGCGTCAGCATCAGCAGCAGGGGCAGGAGAGGCACCAGAAGTGAGGTCAAAGAGAGAGAGACCGTCCGCCCTATCGCACTGTAGGAAAAGCTGCAGGTCATCTATCCAGACGTCAAAGTCAATGGCCCGACCCTCGGCGTCAAAAGCGAGGACACTAGGGGTAGCCATTGACAGCAGTAGACTAGCAGCGCGAGCAGCAGGCTAAAGGCAGTGCAGTGGTGGAGGCGCTGCTCTTACCGGGCAGGCGAGAAGGACCGAGGCTCGCCGGCAGGAAGAGAGCCGCGACGGCAGTGACCGAGTGTAGCGGACAGGGCGGCTCGGGCGGCTCGTCGGCATCGGCGGCTCGGCGACAGCGGCAGCAACGGTGGCAGCGGCTCGGCAGCTCGGCGGCAGCGGCGACTCGGCGGCAACGGCGGCTCGGCGGCTCAGCGGCTCGGCGGCTCGGTGGCAACGGCGGCTCGGCGGCGTCGGCGGCTCGGCGGCGTCGGCGGCTCGGCGGCGTCGGCGGCTCGGCGGCTCGGCTGCTCGGTGGTGACGGCGGGGCCGTGAAGGGCGGCAGGGCCGCTGAAGGGACGGTGGCGAGGCCGGGTGGGGCGGCGACGAGGCCACTGAGGGCGGCGGCGGGGCCACGAAGGGTGGCGACCGGGCCGCAGAGGTGTGGCGACGGGGCCGCGAAGGGCGGCGCCGGGGTCGCACGGGTGTGGCGACGGGGCCGCGAAGGGCGGCGGTGGGGTCGCGGGCGGCTGCGACGGAGCCGCAAGGGGTAGGGCGATGGGGCCAGCAAGGGCGGCACCGGAGCCGGTAAGAGCGGCGCCGGGGCCGCGAGGGTGGGGCGACGGGGCCGCGAGGGCGGCGCGAAGGGGGCCGCGAGGGCGGCGCGAAGGGGCCGCGAGGGCGGCGCGAAGGGGCCGCGAGGGCGGCGCGAAGGGGCCATGAGGGCGGCGCGACGGGGCCGCAAGGGCGGCGCGACGGGGCCGCGAGGGCGGCGCGACGGGGCCGCGAGGGCGGCGCGACGGGGCCGCAAGGGCGGCGCGACGGGGCCACTAGGGGCCGTGAGAGGGGAGCGCGACTCGGGCAGGAGCTGAGTGCGCTCCGGGCAGGAAAAAAAAATCGGTGGGCCCTAGGAACAGTTCCCACGAGGGAACCTGCTCGATACCATGAGAAAACTAGAATGAGAATGATTGCATTGAGCAGCATGAGGAGTACAAGTACCAAACCCTAAAGTGTTGTACCCCATGTAAGCTACCCCACTACAGCCTCCACAGAATATAGTATATGAGTTTGACAGCTGCACATTGAGCAAGCCTCCCAGCTCATGGAAGACGTAGGGAAGATGGCATAGGCGAACGAAGTGATCGACAAGGCCAACAACATCACCAACGTTGTCAGCGCCACGCCCACCACTGGACCCGAGCCAAACATGAGGAGTCCAGAGCATCACGGCTGGAATGTCCTGCATGCGTTGCTGCATATGTCGGGTCACAGTTCATCGATGTGTCCCGGGTGTGTGAGCTACGTAAAGAACCTGACGGCGATGGTGCCAAGCAATCCATGGAGTGGAAGGGGTTGGCTGTGGGACAAGGATGGCGACGACGGATCCATTCAGAGCTCTCATCCTGGACTTGGCACGGTAGAGGTCAGCGGAGTTCTTTGTGAAGCTGATGAAGCTCCCGTTTACTACAACGCAAAAGACGGATTCATCGGTGACGCAGATTGACGACATCATGTTGGAGGATGTGAACAATGTGTTGGAGGAGGACGATGAGCACCTGAGCCAGCAGGATCAAAAGGGTATCTGTTGAACTGTTAAGGATTGGTGGAATAACAGCCTTACTTATCCGCTTCACGAGGTTAGTCGGATCCTGAATCCGTGCAACCAAAAGAATGCCTGATGTACCGTGTGTGTGATGAAGGCCTACATGGCTCCCGCACGTGCGTTTTTGGTAAGGACTGGGGAGGAAGTGGTGAACAACCTAAACGGGGGGACACAGAGCTTCAATCTCGGATACTTTGTGCTTCGGTCTCTCAGGTCCCCTCAGAGCAGGTGCTTGCACTGGTTCAATTTAGAGGAGGAGGAGGAGGAGGAGGAGGAGGAGGAGGAGGAGGAGGAGGAGGAGGAGGAGGAGGAGGAGGACGAGGAGGAGGACGAGGAGGAGGAGGAGGAGGAGGAGGGGGAGGAGGAGGAGGAGGAGGAGGAGGAGGAGGAGGAGGAGGAGGAGGAAGAGGAGGAGGAGGGGGAGGAGGGGGAGGAGGAGGAGGAGGAGGAGGAGGAGGAGGAGGAGGAGGAGGCGGAGGAGGAGGAGGAGGGGGAGGAGGAGGAGGAGGAGGAGGAGGAGGAGGAGGAGGAGGAGGAGGAGGAGGAGGAGAAGGAGGAGGAGGAGGAGGAGGAGGAGGAGGAGGAGGAGGAGGAGGAGGAGGAGGAGGAGGAGGAGGAGGAGGAGGAGGAGGAGGAGAGGGACGACGAGGACGAGGAGGAGGATGAGGAGGAGGACGAGGAGGACGAGGAGGACGAGGAGGACGAGGAGGACGAGGACGAGGAGGACGAGGAGGAGGAGGAGGAGGAGGAGGAGGATGAGGAGGAGGACGAGGAGGACGAGGAGGACGAGGAGGACGAGGAGGACGAGGACGAGGAGGACGAGGAGGAGGAGGAGGAGGAGGAGGAGGAGGAGGAGGAGGAGGAGGAGGAGGAGGAGGAGGAGGAGGAGGAGGAGGATGAGGAGGAGGATGTGGAGGAGGATGTGGCGGCAGTGAAAGGATGGGGCGGGCGAGGCAGACGGGGGAGTGGTACAGGGAAGGTGGGGGGCCGGACTCGCCAATCCCAAAAACGCGGGGCAGGTGACGCCCCGCGTGGCGAAGCAGCGGGCAAACCGAAGGCGCGTAAAGTGAAGGTCAAAAGTGAAGGGGGTGGTAAAAATCAAGGGAGCCAGGGAGCAAAAGGGGATGGTGAAGGAAAGGGTGGCCACGCCAAAGGGGTTCTAGTGGGTTCCGGCAAGAAAGGACCAGCCGGTAAACGTCGCAGCGGCCGCCAAAGCACCCCGCGGAAAAGGTGGCAACGAGAAGGCGCAGGCAGCAAAAAAAACCGAAGGGACAGTAGAAAGGTAAGCATTGGCGTGGCTGCTGTACTCTCTGCTCAACCGTGCCAATTAACACATTTCTTCACATTGTTTCTCCCCTGCAGGGAAGGACAAGGTCAACAAATCTGCAAAGCAAGGTAAGACCTCTTGTGACAAAACAGTACCCTTTATTACCCGATTTATATTCAAATCGCTGATCGTATACAAGCATGTGTGCCCCTGTATTGAAACTAATCGACTCTAATTTTGTGCTCCTGCTCCCTATAAATCTCAGCCCCTCGTGTTATAGGCATTGGGCCACCGGTAAGCATGCAACTGATGCAGCTAACGAAGGGGGCCGGAAGAGAGAGTGTTACCCCGCTATCCACAGGAGCCACCAAGAGGAGAGGAATCCGAATCCCCTCCACCAGGCCACATCACGCACTCCCCACTTGCCTCACCCTCATACCCATATCGGCAGCTCCACGCTTCTTCTGTCCGGGGCAGGGTCATCTCCCCCCTCGCCGGTCCTTCGCGCGGGCATCGGCCAAACACTTATGCCAATAAGGTGAGGGTCGGGGATGACGTGGCTTGGGGTGGGGGGGGTGACGTGGCAAGTGGGGCGGGTTGTTGGTGGACGTGGCGGATGCAGGAGGGTGTGACGTGGCGGAAGGTGAGGGTTGGGGATGACGTGGAGGTTTGAAAGGGTACACATGAGCAGCGCATGACGAAGCGAGGCGTGTCAAGTGGGTGGGGGGTGACGTGGCTTGTGGTAGGGGGGTGTGACGCGGCAAGTGGGGCGGGTTGTTGGTGGACGTGGCGGATGCAGGAGGGTGTGACGTGGCGGAAGGTGACGGTTGGGGATGACGTGGCGGTTTGAAAGGGTATACGTGAGCGGCGCATGCCAAAGCGAGGCGTGTCAGGTGGGTGAGGGATGACATGGCTTGTGGTAGGGGGGTGTGACGTGGCAAGTGGGGCGGGTTGCTGGTGGACGTGGCGGATGCAGGAGGGTGTGACGTGGCGGAAGGTGAGGGTTGGGGATGATGTGGCGGTTGGGATGAGTACAATGGAGCGGCGCATGACGAGACGAGGCGTTTAAGGTGAGGGTTGGGGATGACGTGGCTTGGGGTGGGGGGGGGGGGTGATGTGGCAAGTGGGGCGGGTTGTTGGTGGACATGGCGGATGCAGGAGGGTGTGACGTGGCAGAGGGTGAGGGTTGGGGATGACGTGGAGGTTTGGAAGGGTACACGTGAGCGGCGCATGACGAAGCGAGGTGTGTGAGGTGGGTGGGGGGTGACGTGGCTTGTGGTAGGGGGGTGTGACGTGGCAAGTGGGGCGGGTTGTTGGTGGACGTGGCGGATGCAGGAGGGTGTGACGTGGCGGAAGGTGAGGTTTGGGGATGACGTGGCGGTTTGAAAGGGTACACGTGAGCGGCGCATGCCAAAGCGAGGCATGTTGGGTGGGTGGGGGGTGACATGGTTTGTGGTAGGGGGGTGTGACATGGCAAGTGGAGCGGGTTGTTGGTGGAAGTGCCGGATGCAGGAGGGTGTGACGTGGCAAATTTACATAGTGTTGCTAGTCACCATCCCCTGGTCACGCGGTCACACTCATAACTGCTGGTTTCTCTCTCTAATGTCGTGTTGTATACCCTACACCCTTGCGCAAAACAAAGCCTACTTAGTGTGCTCTCAGCTCAAGTTTCTGAACCCGCCGGAAAAAATACAGTACTACCCTGCACCGGAGGAAGTGTTCGATGCGTTCTCTGTCCACTTGTCTGCAGAAGGGCTCGAGGCAATGTAGCTGCTGTGGTTGCACAATGACAAGTCCACCATGGGAGTCTTCAACCACCAGATGTCGTCAACAAGGTCAACTATCAACTCCACCCTTAGGCCAGCAGCATACACCGGCATGGGCCTTGCCGATTATAGCCATCTCCTGGATAGCCTGCCCACTGGGCTACACCCAACGACCTGATTTGACGACGATCAAGTCCTAGCTGAGTACAGAGATGGTATGTGCAACTCGAAAACACCATATGCCCCACCATATGCCAGTTGGCAGCTACATATCACCGTGCGATGTGGCTCACCCTGACTCTCATCCCCCCACTTACTTTCTCTGCAAAACCCTTTCCAACTCATACCCTCCCTGCCAAAATGCAGAACAGTGGGCCCTCAACTTGCACTTTGACAAGGCCACCGGGACGCCCTTCAGAAACCCCTTGTTCGCTTATGCGTTCAAGCTCTCCTTCAAGAGGGGCGGGGCTGTGTTCACCAAGTTCAAGAGCCGCATGGTGGCATGGGGCCTGTTTTCGGTAAGGATGTAGATATGTGTTTGTACCCCCATGCCTCATCCCCTTAACCCCTTGCCTGTACTTCAGCTAAATCCTTGGTCGATAAAGCCTTTGCAGATAGGTAGATAGTGACGACTGAATCACCGCTTTCAGTTGGCTCCTTTGCCCGTAACCCACCCTCCTCATAAACCATCCACCCAACCCTACACCAGATTGCAGATCGAATGGCCCCTTCTGCATGATAAGCGTTGCAAGCGAATTAGTAGCCAGCCGGAACAAAACAGGCCAGACTACTTGAAGTGGTGCGAAAAGGTCAAACAGATGATGCACTTTGCCGTCGTGGAGCGGAGGATCCCCCAAGATCCGGCTATGCGTGCGTTCGTCTTGCCAAACAAGTTCCTCATCGACGATGGCAACCTTGGAGTGGTCATCCTTGCCCACCGTGTGCTTTCAAGGCCCGCCAGTGCGTAGGCTATTTGACCTGGTGCTAAGACTGCTTGTTGCTAGAATGCTGAAAAATGGTTGTTGTAAACTGCAATATTAAATTCAATTTTGAAATCCTCAATATCCAAAATGAACAAAAACAGAATTTAATTTTGAATAATTTGGTCACGAATTTGCACCAAAACGGATTGCGCCCGAATGTCATCTGGAAAAGCTCGCATGCCAAATTGGAACTTGAACCGAGCCAAACCTTGACGCGAGATGTGTCTCGGAGCTCGTATCAAATGACTCCATCCGTCGGTCCAAATTGGCTCTGGATTTTTTTACGCGAAGACAATCGAAATCAAAATTCATCCAAACCTGGCATAGGGTTTTTGTGATGATGTTATGAATGGAAAAAGACGTGGTGCTCGCAGTAAACTGAATTTTTGTCTAGTCATATTTTTCAAAAGCTAAAAGCACTACTAAAAAGAAATAATTGGCCTAGGTAAAGATAAGTTTAATATTGAAGCGTTTAAATGAGTTGTGTTGAAGCATGACTGGGATGCTTCTTTCGCACAAGAAGAATGCAGCCCCCTTTCCTTGTACTCACCCGCTCTTTTACTCACCCACCCAAGGGGATTCAGGTCTCTTCTCTTATACTCACCCGTGACCATCAGAACGACGACGGGAGTAATGCGCATCAGAACAGGAGATCAACCCATGTGACGGGTTGAAGAGGGACATGGAGAATGAGATCCCTACGACCCTCTGGTAAGAGGGCCTTGACTGCGAAGGGGAGGTGATTGCATCGTAATGATAGCCGACAAGCGAGCATGCTTATAAGCATATGCAAGGTGGGCACAACAAGGCACCATCATAGACTCAGCATCTTCCTGCTTTCTCGGCGTAAGAACACGGTTTTCCCGAATTAACAAGACCCACCCCCCTTCCCCGACCACCCCCCCCACCCCCCCACCCCCGTTCATTAAAACATACACAATATAGCACAATTCAAAGTTTTATTAGTGTTTAGGGGTCTTATGTATTTCCATTTTCCATGATGTCCACCCTAGCCATTTTCATTTCTTAAAAAAAAAAAAAAAAAAAAAAAAAAAAAAAAATCGGATCTATTTTTTGGGATAATACAGCATTTCGAAGGGCTAAGGGCCCAAGCTCGATCCTGCCACACCATATTCATATGTGTGTTATGTTTGTTAAGCTACATTGAGGTGCATTGTATAGGGTACCGTTTTTATGTTTTGCCATATGTACCCATCTCTAGGTATCATGGTATCATCGTAGGACGTTCCTAAAATCCTGGCCCACCTACCTCTCCAAATCCGTTCGTTCCTTCCGCCTGCCTCTCCCTAGCCAGCCAGCCAGCCAGTCGTTCTGCCAGCCAGCCATCAGTCCAGCCAGCTTGCCAGCCGTTCAGCCAACCAACCACCCATCAGCCAGCCAGCCAATTGTCTGGATAGCTAGCCAGCCAGCCCGTTAGCAGTGCGCAACGCTAGCATGCTCGCCGCCAGCAGCAGCTCGAGCCACAGCAGCATGCACAGCACTTGCGCGCGCGCCTACGTGCAGCGCTAGCGTGTGCACATACGCACGCCAATGCGCGCACCTACGCACGCCAGCGCGCGGCGCAAGAGTGCGCGCCTACTCACGCAGAGTGAAGCACATTCATCTTTGATACTTCCTATTGCGAGAGCTGCAGCGATCCGGCCAGGCACGCCTGGCCTGTGTGGCCCCGGCGGCCAACATTGCAGACATCTTCACCAAGGCCCTTCCGCCTGTTGACCACCACAAACTCTGTTCGCAGCTTGGCCTTGTTCAGGCAAGCCTTCGTTTATTGTGGGCCTACCACTTCTTCGTTACACTAACTGTACGGATATATATGTCTATACTCTTGGACTGGAATTGTGGCAATTTGTCTCAGAGGCTGGAATAGTTGTGTCACCCTGAGTTGCATCTCTTGTTGTGTTGCTTTTGCTGACTCGTCTTGTGACCATTTGTCCCACGAGTTGGACTAGTTGAGCCGCACTGGGTTGTTTTTTGTCTTGTTCATGCATCAAACTATATTCATATGTGTGTTAGGTTTGTTCGATGATGAAGCTGCCACCCCAAATTATTTGGAGTTGTTCCTCAAGACTTTCCACAACCGCAAAAGAATATATTATCTCCTGGTTCTGCGAATCCACCTTAACGGCAGCGCGGAGCTCTTCTTTCCCTGCCACCTCCTCCCTGACAGCCTGCAGCTGGTTGGCAATGTCAACCATGCTTGGGCGGCTTGCAGTGCGCTCCACAGTGTAGCTCACTACCAGCGCAGCCAAGCGCTGCACAGCATCCCCAGGGGCGGCCATGGTGGGGTGCTTGAGAATTGCTATTTCACCCGAGGAGAGGCTCTCAGATGCCTGAGTGGGAAGGATGAAAGAAATCGCAAGAGAAGTGTGAAAAGTTCAAACGTATATCAGTCAACCATACACGCAGATTCTTTCACTTTGATTAAGGAATCAAATCGTGGCAATATGCAAGAGACATTCCTTTGGTCTTCCCAGCATCCTCGAAGAGTGGAGGGCGTCTAGTGAGCACCACAAGCATGAGTGCAGCAAAGCTGCAACGTGCAAGTGGTGCTAAGAGAAATATGATGGCGAGATGCTGACGATAGATTTTAACGGCAAATACCTGCAATAAGGCAATGAATCATTGACTCGGATTAGACAAGTAGAAGAAATATTGCACACACTTAAAGGAAAGACATGGGTTGGCAAACCAGCCAAGTACCATGCCATGATTGCGCCATGCTTAATCTACTTGAATGCTAATTCAACGCGGAGTGAGCTCATGCCTTAGTATATGATGTCAAAAACGGGATCCTACCAGCCATGGATGACGAGAAGGTAATAGATTGCATACATTGGATCAGAGTACTAGGGGTGAAACCCCAACTGAACATAGGGTGTGTCCAATTCAGAAAATTAGACCTAGAGTGAAACTGAAATGAGACTAACGTTTCAACTGGCCAAGAAAAAAGAGCAAAAAATAGCCTACTCCAACATAGTATGCCAGTTCTGACAAATTGTTAACTCAAATCCCAGAGTGTTCCGATCTTGGCTCACCTGTAGACATTGGTCGCTGCGGTAGCATTGGACGTAATCGAGTAGAATCAATCCACATAGCCCGGTGTTCCCAAAATTCCAGTCCTGCCCACTGTTGTGCCCTCTCCCACCCTCATCACCCCAAAGTCTGCAATATTGGCCTGTTGAGTGGTCCGACAATATGGTAGCATAAATGCAGAACAAATAAGGGAGCAGGTAACTGAAAGGCAGAAAAAGTGCGATTGAAAATAGGATAAACACAAATTTAGATCTTAGTTGGATGTTTTCCATCCGTTACGCGTTAGGCAGGTTACATTGCAACCGTTTACCCATTTTTCGGCTGTGGATTCGGTTGTTTCTTGAACAACCAAAATGTGGTGCTGCTAGGATTAAGGATGGAGTGTAGGACGTTTAGGGGCCGAAATAACTCAAAACCGTTGGACTATTATTCTGACAGAAATGTCGACTGCACAAGAAACGCCGTCGACAAAACACGCACCGTTAAAACTTCACCTAATTCAGATATATTGTAGCTCTTGACCCTGGCTATAATTCTCAGTTTGAATCGTATCAAGAAGTGAAGCAAAACTCGAGTTATGAATTTTGGCGCACTAAGGGGTATGCTGGAGCTGAACTGAAATCAATCACAATAGTTCAACCAAGAACCACAAAAAGGAATTAGAGTAGCAAGAAACCAGGTAGGAGACACAAAGGCGTTTGAGTCTAATTACGGGCTATTTATGTTATGCGCGAAAGGCGCTTGTTTTATTTTATGCGCGAAACGCGATTGTGGGGCGCGAGCTAGGCTTGCTCTATTAGCGAATATGCGCGAGACGTGATTTGTGGCAATCAAAGCGAGATGAGGATGACGAGAGGAGAAGGTCCTAAGGGAGTCCCCAACCAAAGAAACCCCATAAGCACATCAAATCCCCTCCCTATAGGAACCCCACTTTGACTTTTGTCATTTTCCCAACCCATGCAATCCACCTCACCCAACTTGGGCACACTTGCCAACCTGGTTTGGCTTCTCCCAGCCTATTGGCATCATCTATAGTAGAGTGACGAATTTCCCCAACCCCAATGGTCCCAAATCCTTTTAAGTTCCCATCGTCGCTGCAACCAAATATCAAAAGCATACGAACTTCAACCGTTTGCAACTTTCACGTTCGTGCTCCGATCGAAGCGATCCTTGGTTCGTCGGAAAGCACTCAAGAAAAGAAGTCATTTCAGATATCTGCATATAAAAATAACATTCACACACACTCACAAAGTCCAAACCAAACCAAACGCAAAGTCCTTCGCACGCGCACACCACGCATGCAAGATAGGAGAATATGATAGGAGGCAGACACAAACTTGATCGTAATACTTTTCAAGTGTAGAGCGTACCAATGATGCTTCACTCACTGGCAGGCTCCTACTGTTTCTCCAAGGCATCAGGTTGGATTTGCAGAAGGTGGTTGGTATAGCCACTGATGGTGCTTCGATGATGACAGGCGAGCGGAACGGAGTGTTGGCGCGTCTTCGGCTACAACTTGAGCATGTTCTGTCCTCTCACTGCGTCGCCCATCGGTTTGTTAATGACCTGGTAAATTTTCTGTTGAGCAACTTTGACTTGATCACGCGCGTTCATTGTTGTTTCTGTTCCATTGTTTTGTACCCCTTGTTTCCATTCCCTGGTTTTTCCCTTGTTCATTACCCCCCATGAACGACAGGGAAGCACTGGCGGCTAAAGATGTCACGGATACTAAGCCGTAACTTGGCATGGTGGACGTGGTGGTGCGAGGACTGTCAGATATCTTGGGGCGCAGTCACGTGCGGTATCAGCGATTCATGGAGCTGCAGTTCATCTTCTGCATGACAAATCTTGAGGCATAGGGGATTCACGCTTTACGGTGGCTGTCAAGAGGCGAGGTTGTGCAGACGCTGGTGGAATTTCTTCCAGCAGCAACGATTTTCCTGAAGAAAATTAATCTCGAGCTTGGCGAGAGATTATCACTTCCTTTAAGTTCAACTTTCTGCTGCGATTCTTTGCAGACATACTGATGGAGGTGAATGCGCTAAACAAGCGCCTTCAGCAACGCCAGGTACCATGTCCATGCCTTGCTCTGCTGGTTGTGTGCCACGTCACTACACCATTGTTGGTAACGCAATGTATCTCTGTGTGTTACCATCTCAGGTGGATGTAACGCTGTTGGCGCATCTGGTGGAGCAGACGTGAATGCGTATTAGGGAGAGGTACCTCACATGCCGGGCTGGACTTGTGTTTGGCGAAGGGGATATGCTCTCTCTGCCGCCGTTCATGGAGGTGCATAAGTGGATGGATAAGCGCGCGAGGTGCATGTGGAAGGCGTTGATGCGGACGGCAATCCCGCATTGTGTGTGTTCGTCCTCCATGAGCGACCACTGGAGGGGCACGACACAGACAGGGACATGACCGCGTGCTACGAGCTGGCTGTAAAATACGCGAGAGAGGTAATCAAGAACCTGCAACATCGCATGCGGGACCTGGCGGACCTTGAAGGCACCAAGCTCTTTCTGGATTCAACGTACCTGACCGACGACCAGCAGCGTGTGGCGGTTAAAAAAAAATGGTTGAAGAAGCTGCACCTGCTCTTCTGCGGCAAGCTGCCAGGTATGGGTTTCAGGATTGCGATGGTGGATTGGTATGCCTACCACATTGAATAACTGAGATACATTGTCCTTGTTATTCTCCCCTCCTACCCATCCAACAGGCCTCGTCTACAACAGAGCCTTGACAGAGCTGTGGATGTTCACAGCAACCATGCGCTCACAGCATCACAATGAGGACTTCCATCAAGCCCTCGGCAACACACTTCGGGACGACAACTGGCAGAGCTCCTACCCGAATATCATGCGCATGTGGCAGGCTGTGGCTGTGCTTCCCCGCAGCACAGTCGAGTGCGAGCGAGACTTCTCGAAGCAGAATGTGATAAAGACTTGGGGTCGGGGGAGCATTCGCAACGTCAGCCAGGGACATCTCATGTCGACTGGTTTGACGTTGCTGCTGTATTCAGGGGGGAGAAGGTGCGGCGGCCTATCCAAATAGTCTAATAGTGTCAGCCCTGTCGTGGAGGGGTGCCTACGATTCAGGTGGACACAGGGTTTTCCCTCCACTAAGCCATTGCCAAGCACCTGGACTTTCAAGACAAGTCAAACAATACCTTCCTAGTGTAAAAGAGAAGGAGGTGTGTCAAACGAGCAGAGTAGCTAGGTAACTGCCACAAACAGCAGGGCAGTCCCTCGACCCCATTCAGGAGCCTCGAACGATGCATACGATGCAATGCATATGAGCTCCAAAGTAATACTCAACCGCGATAACCCCATCCCAATCCTAGACTGGGTGTTGAGTGATGAAGCTGTCCCTATCCGCAATCATTCGAAGTTATGTCTCCAGGCTGTCCTCACCCGCAGCAGCAGCCTTCATCTCCTGGGCCTATGCATCCACCTTGATGGCAGCGCCAGATTCCTCTTTCCCCACCACCTCATCCCTGACAGCCTGCAGCTCCTTGGCAATGAGCGCCATGTTTGGGTGGCTTGCAGTGCGCTCCACAGTGCAGTTCACTGCCAGCTCAGCCAAGTGCTGCACAACATCCCCGGGAGCGGCGTCCATGGTGGGGTGCTTGAGGCTCTCTGCATTACCCGACGACAGGCACTCGGATACCTGAGAGAGTGGAAGAGGATGGAAAAAACCGCACATTTGAAAAGGTGAAATACACATCAGCTAGCCTATAAAGCGGTTTCTTTCACTTCAATTGGAAGAATGCAATTTTGGCAACATGCAACAAGCTGCCTGAGTGGAACTTACCCACACCACGATGTGCTTGGTCTCCCTAGCATCCTCAGAAAGTGAAGGCCGTCCAGTGAGCACCACAAGCATGAGCACGCAAAAGCTGCAACGCGCGAGAGGCGGTGAGAGCAATGCGATGATGGGAGCGATGCGATAATGAGATACATATACTACTCTAATTTGTGAATTCAATGAACCTGTAGAGGATCTCGATGGTGTTCAGTAAAAAACGAAAGGATGTTGGGTAACCAACTAGGTTGGATGGGTTGACAAACTAGCATTATTACAATATATGCTTGTCCCAGGTGCAAATTTCATGCATAAGCCAATATCGACATTGCATCTGACGGGGTACAAGCCATTTCTTTTAGAAAAACTTGCGATATCCTACATTACTTGGAGCCATCTCCCAGAGCCTGCTGGCTCACATAGCACAATCTTAATATGACTCTTGGCTCACCTGTAGACATCGCTGGCTGTAGTTGCCTTGGACGTCCGGTTGTAAACCGGATCCACATAGCCCGGTGTTCCCATAATTCGAGTCGTGCCCACTGTCGTGCCCTCTCCCACCCTCATGAGCCCAAAATCTGCAATCTTGGGCTGGTGAGTGGTTTGACGATGATAGCATGAATGCAGCAGCACAAAACAAAGAACAAATAATGCTGACAAAATACACAAAATTCGTTGGCTCACCTTCCTCCTCCAGGAGCTGTGCTACCCTTAGCCCACCCCCACCCTCAGGTGTGACAACAAGAGTACCATGCATCTTTCCCAGGATCCAGTGTACCACACTTGCACCAAGCACATCGAACTTTGCCACTTCTTCATTCGTGACCTTGTCCAGCGAGAACAGTTGAACGTGGAGTACGTTGCATCTGAATGCAACCTGGCTGATCTGTTCACCAAGCACCTTGGGTAGTTTCCTCACCATCGTCTCCTTGGCACCATGGGGCTATGTGCCCCACCTTCTCCACCTTGAGTTCGGTTGACGTCTATCGGGGGGTGTTAGTGTTAGCCCTCAATCTCACATTTTGTACTTGCATTTTTTATATCCTAGTCTAGTGTGCACTTTGTGTTTGGTTGGGTGTACACCCACATCCCAACCAAACCCAAATGTGATCCCCAAGAAATCTCCAACCCACCAATTGGAGATTGCCTTGGGATACCCCCAATCCCCTAGGATTGCCCCCAATTCTCTCCCCATCCTTACCTTGCCCATTTCCAATTACTTAAAGAGCCTTGAGCTCATTACTAATTAATGGATTCTAAGCTCAAGTTCTAACAAACTTCTGCCGAGGTTTCTCGATGCTTCCTTTGCTCGTGTCTAACAAACGTTCCAATTGCAGAATCCTACACCCTCCCATCTTCTGACCTGTAGCTTGCGAAGCTGAAGGTTGACACACAGGAGAATCTTAAACCGCTAAAGGACAAATGGCCCACAAGCGGCTGCATTCTTACCGTTGACAAATGGACATGCCTCAAAATTCGTGGCATGGTGTGCAAAATTACCAAAAATTACACGGCGCATGTGGTGGTCGACACCGTTGACTCTAAGCCCAAACAATACCGGCGTGTATCTGGCGGGCCATATTCGCCGTCAGCCTGCACCGTCAGTGACTACCCATGATGGACAACCCATTAACAACTCGAGTGCTAGACGAAAGGCTTTCCCCACATGCTATTCACCTACTACGCTGCCCATGTGCTAAACCGCAGGCTTTATGACATGGAATATACGGACTATGAATTGGGGTTTAACCAAGTACATCGCATGGCCATGCTGGTGAAGGGGAGCCAGTCAGTCATCACCCTCTTCCACAAAGTCTTCAACAACGTAGCTCTGGTACGCTCTGGAGCTACACGGTTTAGTTTGGAATCCAAGTGATTACGATCACTCATTTCCCTGTAAATTAGGATATCACGGGCCTGCTCGCTGCCGAAGATGAGCTTTTCTGGTCGCCATCAAGACTAACATAGCCAAGAGGTGGGATGCACAACCCACTGCATTCATTGGGGTGGCTCATGAGACCAGTACGTGGGGGAGGTAAGAAACGACTCAGAGGGGTGCAGATGAGTTGATCCAAGCTAGTGGTTGGATGTTTGACGCCTCAATTTGTTATGGGCCTAGCTTGCAGCATTCCATAAGGTCGGGGGTCAGTTGAGAGCTGTCGATGCCCGTTGGTCAGCGGCAACCTTAGTGCAGGGCGGTCACTTCACAGATGTGAAATGGCGTACGTACAGGGAGGAAGCCGTTGCACTCTTGGAGCTGACTGTCATGGTAATCTCACATCCAGCCACGCTCTTCGAGGTCAAACGGAACCTCAAGAAATTGGAAACTGACTGAAATCGTCGTGCGTGATGGACAGCGTTGGAGTATAATACGCCACTCGCATATCTTCCAGCACAGGTCTAGAGAACTCAACAACTAGCCAATACACCAAACTCAGCCCGTCGCACGATTCCAATCCACAGCCATGTTCTTGTCAAGTCAAAGCATTCAGCAAGAAGCCCTAATTGCCACACTTCCCTGGAGAAAGGGGATGTAAGGTTGAGAACATATCTTGGTCGGCCTGATCCGGCATAATTTACTGAAATTGGGTACCAGGACGACCCGACCCGGCCGGGAAAACCTGGCCCGACACGCCCGGGTCAGCATCACGAGCTTGCAGACCAGGCCCGGCCAAAAAACCGGGCCGAGCCGGGTCGACTTGAACCGGAAATTAACTCAATCCTATCGAGAAATTCCAGCCAGCAGTGATGTGCACATGGCACGCAGAAAAGCTGCGCAGCTTACAGGTAGTCCAATTGCGCAAGACTCCCAAGTGTGGCTGGAATAATCCCCGAAAGTCCATTTTGGCGCATATCCCTGTACAGAAGAGCACGACATGATTAGCCTGGCCATCTAAATGAGCAGGTGAACTATTATAAAGGCTAAGATGGTGTAGCACTTATGAGTTTTGCTAAAGCAACAAATGCGTGAATTCAATCAAGACCAACCAGAAGGCTGGTCTAGCAGGTAGGCAAGATGCAGCGGTTGGAACTTATAAGGATTGATTCGATTGGAAGAGCTATAGCAAAACGAGCGAATGCAGAGGACTGGATGAGTTTGTTGAGGTTGAGATTCAGTAATCGCAGTTGTGAGTTCTGCCAATTGAGGGTTTCGGGGCTTAGGAACAAAAGTATGCATCTGAAGTACAACAGCAGGGAGAAACACAGAGTCGCAAAGCGATGAAGAGTGCAGAGGTGGGGAGGAGTGGGAGATCAGAGTACACACGGCCAGTGGAGGAGTGATGCGCACATGGCATGCAGCACCAAGTGGGCAGAGCAGAACGCAGGTGGAGAAAATTCAGTGTGCCTCTTACAGGTATGTGAGTGCCATGAGCGCAGAGATGCTGTTGGGAGTGGAGCCGTTGAGAGAGTCAGAGCTCAGATCCAGTGTGGGTGAGTGGGCTGGACGTGGTGAGACGAGAGGCTCATCAAAAGCCTGTCCACAGAGGGTGGCTGCGACTTGGAATGATTGATTAAGCTCTTAAGGGCTATTGCAAGGCAAGCAGGTGCAGAGGAATGACAGAGGTTGCAAAGATTGAGATAATGTAGTTGCAGTTTTGACTTCTGCCAAAGCAGCAATCATTTCAGGGTTTTGAGGTTCGATAACAAGAACATGGATTCAAAGGAACAAAACTACGGAGCGCTGCAAACTGCAGAGGGGGTGAAGAGTGGCCGTACGGAGTGCATGGGCAGTGGAGGAGTGCCGGCAGTGATGCGCACATGGCATGCAGCACCCAGTGGACAGCGCAGCATGCAGGAAGAACAAACCCAGCATGCCACTCACAGGTATGTGACTACTGTGAGTGCGGAGATGCCGTTGGGAATGGAGCCCGCGAGAGAGTTAGAGCTGAGATTCCTGTGTGGGGTTGAGTTGAGTAATTCGGACGTGATGAGACGAGAGGCCAACACCCCGTTTACAGAGGGTGGCTAGAATTTGGAAGAATTGGTCAGTCAGGAGCTACAGCAAGGCAAACAGATGCAGAGGAACACGTAGATTGTGAGGATATACAGGTTGAGATTGAGGATATACAGGTTGAGATTGTGTACTAGTGGTTGTGAGTTAAAACAACACGTAGATTGAATGAAGTACAGCAAGTAGGTTGGTGTGGTAGGGTAGAACAAGGAGTGGCAAATGGATGCAAACAACAACAGAGGGAACCAGTGTGCTGAGTGCATTGGCAGTGGAGGTGTGCCACCAGTGATGCGCACATGGCATGCAGCACCCAGTGGAGCAAACCCAGTGCGCCTATTACAGAGATTCGAGTGCCACAAACGCAGAGATGTTGTTGGGAATGGAGCCCACGAGGGAGTTGGAGCTGAGATCACTGTGTAGGGTTGAGTGAGTGGACGTGATGAGGCTCGTAAAATACAGTCCGTTATTTACGGTAATCTAAAAAATGCTGCCTGTTATTTTGTTTCAGAAACTCGAGACACAAAAGAAAAGGAAAAAAAAAGGACAAATACATTTACAATCGTAAACACAAAAAACAACACACAAGAAAGGGCTAGCAGCTATGTGCAGAATTGGTAAATTTGTACCCGCCTCCCCTTTGTCCTGCTTAGTTATGGTCCCATGGTTTGGTGCCCCGCTGGTTTGAGATCTAAAACGGCCTTTCTTTAGAAACAAACACCTCTTGGAACCGTTTTCAACTGGTTGTAACGACTGTTTTTAACAATACCCTTTTTTAAAGATACATTTTAGAATTTGGCCGTTTCTAGTATTTATCCTTGGAAGATAGGCATGACTCCAGGCAGATTTAGAGGACTGCGATTGTAAAGGCCGAGATCAAGTAGTGGCGGTTGTGAGCTCTGCTGAAGCAAACAAGCAACCAGAAGCAGACATGAGCAATTAACGAGGCGAGTAATACTCGCCACGTTTTGGGCCAGCACGTTTTTTGAACAAGCTGAGGCAAGTATTACTTGCCCGAGTAACATCGCCATTTGCCCTACTTGTTACTCGCCAAATGGGCGAGTTTTGTTTTTTTTTTTCTTACCAACTACGAGTAAAAAGGTACTCGTAGCGAGGCAAGTAATGCTCGACT